CTCTCTCCATGGCCTGTATATTGTTTGGGGGGGGGGGGGGGGGTGGTATGGTATGGTCTGGAAGGTACAAGGCGGGTATTATTTCTTTTGTTTGATTTTGCCCTCAGGCTAGTGCTGCACAATAGGACACAGGGTCCCCTTCGAGGTACATGCACCAATTTCCTACCCTGTAAAATCCCCATACCTATCCCACAATCAACCCCTTAAGAAATTAAAGGCCAGACACTGAGGGTGGTTCTTTTACGTCCCTCCGTACCGTATCGCAGTATACTAACGTAATTGACCTTTACATTTGGCAGGTCTCGAGTTCAGGACGAATACTTCGAGGTCGTGGAAGAATGGTGAGTGACAATCATACAGGCGCAGTAGATAAAGAGAGATACAGAGATATATTCTACTGGATAGGCCGTGGTGGGCCGTCTACTATTCCTTCACCACTAAGGGCTCAGTCTTCCGGGGGGGAGGGGGAGGAGGTAAATTCCGGTTTGTCCTTTACCCACTCTCTCTATCAATTGGATATTTCAAAGAGACTGTCATTGCTTGCTAGAGTTGTGATGATTATGAGAAATATCACTTGTATTGTTCAAGCCTTATTAAGTTTTTTGTTTCTGTTTTCTGTTTTTTTCAGAGATATCGAACTCCACCCCCGGACGCTCAAGAGGAATCGCCCACCCGTCGTAGATCACGAAGTCGGTCTCGTAGTCGATCTCCCCCAAGACGGCGCCACTCGAGGTCCCCGAGAAGGTCATATCACGATAACCGAAGACCACTGAGAAGAGATCGGTCAAGGTCGAGAAGTAGATCTCCAACCCGACGAAGACATTCTCCTATTGGTCGCAGAAATGGTAGAAGAAGTGCTTCGCCTATTGGTCGCAGAAATACAAAAAGAAGCGCTTCGCCGCCGCCACGGGATCGTTCCCGCGAAGTCCCGCACACGCAGGATCGTTTTCGGGATAGTAGTAGATGGGAGCGAAATCAAATCACTGATGCTGCGAGACCTGAAAGAGAGTCTAAAGAAAATGTTGATAGAGACATTTATTCAAGTCACCAGGAAGAAAATAGCAGGGAAGGGGGAAAGGAACGCGGTCGTCACTCCCAAGAAGTACTGACCAATTCAGAGGAGCAAAGCCAACCGCCAGTTAGAATAGCTGCTAACACAAGCAGATGGGAAAGACATCAAAGTTCAGATGAGGAACCAACAAGACAAGGTATACCAGTAATGGAGGATAACTTAGACGGCGCTAAGGACACTGATCATGGTAGACATTTATTTAGTTCTGGTAACGATAATAAACTGTTAGGCAATGAATCTGAAGTAACTGGTCAACAGAGGTCTTCAGAAAGAAATCCAAGAAAGAGAAATACCCGTTCAAACACCCCTGAGACTAAGAAGAAATCTCTAAGAAATCGCCGAAGATCGCGCAGCAGCTCTGAAAGTTCTCCCGAATCTAAAAGAAAAGTAGAAAAAAGAAAGCGCAGAAGTAGATCCCCAAGTGACAGGCGAGAAAGGGATCGAAGTCGCAAGGAATCTAGTACTGATAAGGATAAAAAAGACAAGAGCATATCACGTGAAAGGAAGAGTCGATCACGTGAACGAAAGAGCAGGTCACGTGAAAGAAAGAATAAGTCACGTGAAAGAAAGAGTAGATCACGTGAAAGAAAAAGTCGATCACGCGAAAGAAAGAGCAGGTCACGTGAAAGAAAGAGTAAGTCACGTGAAAGAAAGAGTCGATCACGAGAAAGGAAGAGCCAATCACGTGAACGAAAGAGCAGATCACGTGAACGAAAGGGCAGGTCACGTGAAAGAAAGAGTAAGTCACGTGAAAGGAATAGTAGATCACGTGAACGAAAGAGATCAGCTGGTCGGCGAGATAAAAGACGTGACCGAAAGAGTAGTTCATGTGACCGCAAGAGTAGAAGTAGATCTCGTGATCGAAGTCGGAAAAATCGTAGTAGGAGCCGTGGCAGGAGAGAAAAGAGCCGAAGTAGATCACGTGACAGGCGACGCAAGAGTTCGAGTCGCAGTCGCAGTGGACGCCGTCGTCGAAGCCGCTCAGCTAACAAACGATCATCAGGCTGGAGCAAAAGAAAGCCCAGAGACAGCTCTTCTGACTCGGACTAGAGGACTATTAATGAATTTATTGAGCTGATTTAGGCGTGGAAGTTGTTAGACGCATCGAGTAGAACAGCCGGTCCATTCAGTGCCATTCGTGTTCATGAACTATAGTAACCAAAGACATTTTATAAAACACCATATCTATGGGCTGATGAGAACACATTGTAAATGGTGTTTTTCTCTTCATCTCTAGACGTTCACTGGATGTTCTCTGGATGTTCCGAACATACATTTTTTTAGATATTTTAAGTATTCAAAATTTTACATGTAAAACAAGACCTAAAGGTAGTGAAGCAAGAGCTTAGAAATCTTTTTTTCTTCGTCTTTTCGTAGCCTTCGATTTTAGTTTCTTAATCCTCTATCGCAACTTCATCTCATTACAGTCGAAGTTCCATTAGATCGCTTTTCGTCTTTCTGCGACGCAAATCACTTCTGAGACGCGTACGGTTTCTAGTGTTTGGGCTTTCGTACATCTAATTTAGTACTGTCCGACTTAGTAATTTTTCAGTCTAAGACTCAGGTCAAACGTCGAACTTCACATGAGCCGAACCTAATCGAAACAATGAAAACCAAGGCGGTCTTCTTCTATGTTACTAGGATCAGCTCATGTGAAGGTCGACGTTTGACATGAGCCTAAGAATCTGGAGGTTTGGAATCTATATTCTCTTTTATGCAAGGGAGGCTTATGACGCATCGGTCTTAGCTACATCAGCGACAATGACTTAGATATTTTAAGGAGCCAAATAATAAGTCTGTTATCACTGAGGCACTGAAACGGCTTTTTTTCTGTATCTACAACCCAAGCTTCAAACTGCGCTAAAATCAAATGCACCTGCAATAACAGCAATTTGTTAGAAACCAAAACCATACGCAAAAGAAATCTTTATTTAGTTAATCTTCAGTCTTGGTCACAACATCTTCTGCAGGCTTCAATCCTCTAATTGAAAGGTCGTACACGACTTCCTCAGCCTTTTTTAGGTCGTACTTGAGTCCATCAAATCTTTTTCGTAGGCTATCGTTCTTTAGGTTCAACAGACGAAACCCTGCATCAAGCTCGGACAAGAAGTGGGCTATTCGTAAGGGTTTATTATAGTCCTTTGCTGTTACGCTGTTCACTGCAAGACGGGACTGAAAGAAATGATGAATAAACAAATATTTAGAGCAGTGATATTTTATTCCTGTGCGAAGCCAAAGTACTGTAGAGTTTTGTATGTACTTTGTGTCTTAGATGTACACACCTATTTCAATAAACGTCATCGCAAAAGGCGATAGGCATTAGGCGAAAAGCGATAGGAGATAGGTCATTCCAAGATACAAGAATAGCTGGAATGACTTGTGTTTCTGCTTCTTCATCATCCTCTTCAAGAACATAGACCTTAGTGTTGAGTTTGATTCAATGTTTCAACGAAACCATTTCCATGTCGGAATGACATGGCGTCTATCGCCTTTGGCCGGACGACAACGTTTTTAAAAATAAATGTACATTAATTCTACCCTCAAAATTAGAAACAGTAAGGTAAGTTCCGATAAAATAGGAAGAGCTTCGAAAAGAGAATGAAGGCACAAAAGAATGCAGGTTTAAAAAAGGACGAGAAGCCATGTCACTGTGATTGGTTACTTTTACATGATATCTTGTTACCTACCAGTTCTTCCGCAAGTTGAAGAATTCCCATCAAATAATCATCTAAATCAATAAAGAAGCCTTGATCCTGGTTATGTTGAACTAAACGCGAGTAACGATAAGATGAGTTAGAGTGCTCACACTAAATCCGTGAAACAAATACTAATTTTTA